AAAAAAAAAAAAAAAAAAGCTTAGCTCAGTACAAGTAAACAAAGAAAAACAGATATTTAATAATTTCATTTAAAGAAGTTACAATTCTATTTTTTTTTAAAAAAAATGTTTCTTTACTAAAGTGACAATTCGAAAAAATTTAGAAAACAATTAAGAGTACAATTCAGTGGCATTAAGTGCATTCAAAATGTTGTATAACCATTATCTTTTTCCACAACTTTTTCATCCTCAATAGAATCTTGGTACAAATTAAGTAATAACTCCTTAGCCCTACCTTCACCTCATTTCCTATCTACTTCTATAACACTTTCTGCCTCTCTAAACTTGCCTTTTCTAGGTACTTCATACAATACAATCATAGTATACTTGACTCTTCATGCCTGGCCTTAGCATCATGTTTTCAAGGTTTATCCATATTGTAGCATGTACCAACTTTCACACTTTTGCAAGGCTACATATATACAGCATTCCCTTCTATGTATATATCACAGTTTATTCATTTTTCTGATGAAAACTTGGGTTGTTTCTATCTTTTGGCTATTGTGAATAAAGCTGATATGAATAATGATATACATGTATTTGAATACCTTTTTTCAATTCTTTTGGCATAAACATAAAGTTGCTGGGTGGTAATGATAATTTTATGGTTAACTTTGCAGTAAGCCTGTTTTCCATAGAGGTTGCAACATTTTATATTCTTTTTTGTGGTACTGGGGATCGAACTCAGGACCTTACACTTGTGAGGCAGGGGTGGCACCACTGAGCAAAATCCTAGGCCCACATATTATATTCTTACTAGTAATATTCCAGGGTTCTAATTTCTCTACTCCTTAAAATTTGTTATTTTCTACTTTTCTAACTGCCATCCAGTTAGATATTATGGTTTTGATTTGTATTTCTTTGGTGACTGATGATGCTGAAAAACTTTTCAAGTGCTTACTGATTACTTATACATCTTTGGGAAAATGTCCATTCAAGTACTCTGCCCACTTTTAAATTGGATTGTTTGTACTTACACTGTTGAACTGTAGAAGTTCTTATTCTTCATACATATTTTTAATATTATACCCTTACCAGATACAAGGTACAAATATTTTCTCCTACTGTGTAGGTTACTTTCTCTTTTCTTATAGAATCCTCTTTTCTCATCATCAGTGTCATTTTCTTCTTGTTTTGTTTATTTTGGGTTTTTGGCAGTGCTGGAAATTAAATCTAGAGCCCTGCACACACTAGTCAAATGCTGTCTAGCACTTTGTGTGCTTTTTGATACACCTAAGTCCCCCCCACCAGTACTTAGGATTGAACTCCGAGGCCTTAGAACTGAGTCACACCCCCCTGCCCATTTAAAAAAAAAATTATAAGGTCTGAGTTCCCCAGGATGGGCTCAAACTTAGGATCTTTCTGCCTTAGCTCTCAGAGTGTTGGGATTACAGGGATATACCAGTGTGCCTGACTTGATCTCCATATGTTTTTAATTTTGAAGTTCATTTCATCTCTTTTTTAAATTGTTGTTACATGTGCTTTTGGTTTTCATATAGTTATAGTTTTGAAATAAAGGTCACTGGTCCATTCTCAACTAATTTTTGTACATAATGCTAAGGTAAGGTCCAACTTCATTCTACCTGTGAATATGCAGTTTTTCAGGCATCATTTGTGAATGCTGTCCTTTCTCACTGAATCGTCTTGGAACCCTTTTCAAAAATCAACTGATCAAATTTGCAAAGACTCTACATTCTATGTCTGTGGTCCATATACGTCTGTCCTAATGCCAGTAGAACAGTGTTTTGATTATTGCAGCTTTGTAGTAAGTTTTGATATCCCAAAGTGAATCTTTCAACTCTGTTCTTTTCAAGATTGTTTTGGCAATTCCGGGATTACTTGAAATTTCACATGAATTTTAGAATTTGTTTTGTTTTTGACACAGGGTCTCACTATATAGTTGAGACTGACCTGGAACTCACTATGTAGCCCAGGCTGGTCTCAATCTCACAGCAATCCTCCTGCCTCGGCCTCCCAAGTGCTGGGAATACAGGTGTGCACCACCGCGCCCAGTGATTTTAGAATTTTTAAAATTTTCATTTCTGCAAAATGTGCTATTGGCATTTTGAAAGAGACTGTGTTGAATCTGTACATTGCTTTGGATAATCATTCTAACATTATCAAACCTTCCAAACCAGGAAAATGAGTATGTTTCCTTTTATCTTATTTTTGCAGTAATGTTTCAGTTTTCAATGTACAATACTTGCATCCATGTAATTAAATTTTTTCCTCCCTCCCTCCCTCCTTTCCTTTTTTGTGGTACTGAGAATTGAAACCTAAACCTATCCACTGAGCTATATAATCAATCATTTTTTCTTTATTATTAATAATAATATTATTATTTGGAGACAGGGTCTGGCTCTGTAGTCCAGGCTGGCCTTGAATTCACTCTGTAGCTGAGGATGGTCTTTAAAGTTCACGGCAATCCTTCTGCCTCAGTCTCCCAAGTGCTGGGATTACAAATGTGCGCCAACATAACAGGCAATTTTTTTTTTTTTTAATTTTGAGACAGGGTCTTGCTAAGTTGCTATATTGCCCAGGTGAGGCTCAAACTTGTGATCCTCCTGCCTCAGATTCCCAGAGTGCTGGATTGAAGGCATGTGCCAAAATGGCTCCATTTATTCTGATACTTTTGTCAATGGAAATACTGTCTTAATTTCCTTTTCAAATTGTTCACTGCTGGTGTACAGATATGTAAATGATTTTTATTTGACTTTATATCCTCTAATTTTGTTGAATTTGACTAACTCACTAATCATGTATGTGTATCCTTTAGGATTTTAGAAGCTATATAAGATCATGCAACTGAGGTTAGTGATAATTACTTCTTCCTTTCCAGTCTTGATTTTTCGAATTATTTTTCAACAGTTGCTAGAACTTCCAGTACTGGAAATGGCAAAAGTGGGACTCTCATCTTATTCCTGATCATCTGAGAAAAGCTTTCAATCTTTCACCATGAGAATATGATGTCAGTACACTAAGTATGGCTTTTTTTTTTTTTTTTTTTTTTTGAGTACTGGGGATTGAACTTGGAACCTTCACTTGTGAGGCAGGCAGCAGCACCACTGAGCTAAATCCCCAGCCCAAGGCTTCTTTTTTTAAAATCTATAACCTTTGTCATGCAGAGGAAGTTCAAGTCTGTTCCTAGTTTATTAACTGTTTTTTTTTGTTGTTGTTGTTAAATGATGAAAGGGTGTTGGATTTTGTCAAATGTTTTTGTGTATCAATTCAGAAAAGTGGTTCCATTCTTTAATTCGCCTTATGTAATGAGCTATACTACAATGACTGATTTTTATATGACAAAATGTCCTTTCATGTCAGAAATAGACATCATTTGGTGAATTTAATTCACCAAATTTGCTGCTGAATTTGGATGTTATTCTATTACATAGCAAGAAAATTTTATACATGGCTCTGATATGGGATTTCCAATCTAAATAATTCACTTCCTATCAAGACTGATGAGACATATCAACCAATCAATGGAAAAATAAAGGACAGAAGGTCAAGTTAAGGACCCACACAAGAATGAAAATTAAAAAAAAATTAGTGCAAATTCTTAAAATTTAGTAACTCATCAAAATGATTTATTAAAATTAAAATGATCTCAGAATTGCTGCTCAAAGGTAAGCAGAAATATTTTCTTAATAAACTTACAATGTTTATTATGTATTCACTTTCACATAAATTAAGAAAACAAATGTGTACTCATAAATGGTTACAGTATTAATAATACCTTTAAAATGTGTTTTTACAAAGGATATTAAGCCCTAAATAATTTCTTTAAAAAGTCAAAACATTACCTTAAATGTTTTATAAAAGGCAGCATCCAGTGCTTTCAAGATTTCTTCATCAGGGCACCACTTCAGTTTTCCTCTGAGCCCATGGCCTATTCTGTAAGTTTCTAATGCAATTAGGACATGAAATGGATGTATACGCGCCTAGAAACAAGACAGATAAATGTAAAATTCAAGCATAAAATTGTGATTACGTGTTTTCCTTAGATTTTTGTGCATTTTATAAGAAGTATATTTTATAAAGAAGAGAGAAAAATAAGGATGTATTAACCTTAGATTTAAGAGTCAAAATGCAGTTTGGTATGATAGAGATCTCAACACCTAAAAACCACAGATTTCATTTCCAAAACTTAGGAGCCAACTTTTTCATTTAATTAAGATTAAAGGCTACCAATACTTCTTACCTTTTTTAATAGCTTTTCATTGCATAGTTTTTCACATACTAAAGATACTTCTGAATTTCCTGGTTCAAGTACTGAATTAGCAGTCATTTTTCCTAAATTTCTTAGTAATGCAGTAAGAGGCATTTCTTGTAATAAAGCCCTCCACACCTATAGGAAGAAATATAAGGAATTGAGGGAAATACATATGTAGAACTACAAGAAAGTAAGGGAAAATAATTCACTATAACATATCTATATCAATATTTATAACATTAAGGTTTTCATTTGACTTAAAATACTTTGAGAATGAATGTCATAATTGATCAAAGGTTTATCAAATCAGCTAACATTCTTTACTCGAATAAGGAAGTACATTTTATGAAGGAAATTCAGAGATTTTAAAAAATTACCAAGATAGAAAATTCTCTGGAGTAGAACACAAAATACTAACCACACTGGGTCTCATGTTAGGTGTTTTACATAAACACTGAAGATATGTATTTCTTTCCTCATTTTTTTTTTTTTGCAGTTTGGAAATCAATCCCAGGGTCTTATTGTCATTTCTCTTTTTAAAATGAATTTACTCACCTCTTTAGACTTTAAGTGATTCGTAAGAAGATGCTCCCTAACTAATCTATGTTCTTCTATTAGATGAATGACTTCCAGTTCATCTTTTGTGCGCTTCACTTTTTCTACAGCTTCCAGATATTTTAGTAATTTCTCAGTCTCCATGGGAAGTGCTTTTTCTTTATACAACTCATGGACCTCTTTCCAGCCCTTTGTGATATATTTGGTCACAATGGCAAGTCCTTTAACAAGATAGAGAATTGAAAAGGCAGGTAGGATTATGAAATAAAAAATAGAACATTTCCTGAGAATGCATCCTATGATAGGATTAGCTATATACACAGGAGTTAACTCCCTTAAAGTAGGATACTGTTTTCTATCTTCTAAGAAATGTATTTAAGGAAATAGAGCACATTAATTTTGCTCATTGTTATTAGTTTAAATATGCCACTGAGGGAAAAATGTTATTTAACTTCAGTAAGTGTATTTAATTGTATTACAGAAGCTTTTTTCTGTTCAAGATGTCAGTGCCTATTTCAGTTTATAATCTCAGAACAATTCCTAAGAATACAGATTTATCTCTATCATTTTCACTTTTCCTTCTGTATATCTGAATAAATATGGATTTATGAACAATAAAGATTAAGAGGAAGTGGAGAAGTAGGCAGGTTCTTTTACATTTTTAGAGAGAGAGAGTATAGGTTCTTTTTTTATACTTGATATTAGCCACAAGGCTGAAAAGAGATAGGATCATTTTTTTTTAAAGGGGGAAAATTGTTCATCTCATCTATATTTCTAATCATAGAAAGAGCCTGGGGGCTGAAAACAATCTAGGTTCTATTAAAGGTAAAGATTAAATCCTAAAATTCAAATGTCTTTGAGGGCAAGGTAGGTGAAATGAACAAACCAGAGTCTTGTAAGTCCTTAGGATTGTGGTAAACTAAAAAGAATATGCACTAGGTGTGTTAAACAAGTGTTAACTTTTTGCCAAAAAGATGTTGCCAAAAGATGTACTTTTAAGAAAAGTCAAAAGGTCAATGTTTATTTGAGGTCTTCTGATTTTTTAAAATACTGACAAAAACTTTATTTTTCCCTAAAATATTTTATATGATATACAGCATCTAAGTCAGCCTGAGTGCATGTGCTATTTTTAAATTCTAAATAATTAGAAGTTAATACTAACAAGTTGGGTATGGTGACTCACACCTGTAATCCCAGCACTTGGGAGGCTGAGGCAGGAGGATCACCATATATTCAAGGCCAGCCTGGACTATACAATAAGTTTATGACCAGCCTGGAATACACCGCGAGATCCCATGTCAAAAAAAAAAAAAAAAAAAAAAGAATTTACCTTTGAAATACTCCATCAGGACACACATTATCAAATAAGAAAAGTGAAGTGAGAAGACTATTAAGACCAAGGAAGGGCTGGGGACCTGCCTCAGGGGTTTCACCATTTGCCTCCCAGGCCCAAGGTCCTGGGTTCAATGGCAAGACCCAAAAAAAAAAAAAAAAAAAAAAAAAGTTAATACTAGGAATTTGGAAAGTATCACAACATGTTATCTTCCAGAGTTTGGTATAAAAATATCTTAAATAACTAAATGTTTCAGGTGGGCATGCCTGTTATTTTTCAATAAAAAGAAATATTCCTTAAAGCAGTTGTATCCTACTCAGTTCCCTAATTGTGTAGACAGGCACACAGTAAATATGATTAAGTTAATCACAACTTGACTGACTTGATCTGTTATAAATATACCATTTAAGCTAATATCTTACTTATCTGGCTGCTTAGTTTAAAATTCTTTTCACTTTTGAGTAGCATGCAGCCTTGTTCCCTGTCACCTATTCACAAGCAGCTATTTTGCTTAGTATAACTTTAATCTTGCCGATGAAGCATTCATTACCCACTGTTACTTGGTTCTAGTTAGCATGCTGTTATTGAGATTTAGAATATTAACCTGTAAGTCTGTCCTATGATTCTTTATCATTAATGCCCAGGCTGCCTGTGATAAAGTGATTGGTTCCTGCCCGGTTGTCATTAAACATTTGAACTGGTCAGTCAATATACGTCTTGAGAATTAAGGAACAATTCTAGAAAATAATTATATAATGTCAGATGGAAATTTGCTATTTATTGGATCTTCCTCACTCTCTTAACCCCTCATGAAGACTTTATGCTTACCTTCACTGGAAGGTTTAAGATGTGACAGTCGTAACAGGTCTTTGTGAGACCAGCCATTTCTTTGTTTATATTTTGTAACTGCTAGAGCAAGGGCCATGCCACCCTTTTCATTGTACCAGTCTGCAACAGCTTTCCGTAGAGCACGACCCCACATACCACATTTCATGCTTTCCTTCAGATCTTTCTTAAACTGGATAAAAGTAAAGAGATGTGTAGGAATTCGACAAACTTCAGCAACAGCTTTAAATGCTGCTTGTTTTGTGTTTATATCAGAACACTGGGAACAAATGGCAAGCGCAAAGAGCAAAGGCTCTTGCTTTGCGGTTCTGCCTTCTTGACTAAATGACTTTATTTCTTGTATCACTTCGTATCCTCTGCCATCTTCAATCAATCTAATTAAAGCTTCAGCATTTTCAAGGCCCAGCTTCTGTTCTTTGATATAATAAGTACCACCTTCAGAACCAAAACATAAGAACCGGTGCAGTCGATTCATGTCAGTGACTTGCCATACATATCCACCTTCAGAATTGGCTATTTGCTTTTCATTCAGTGGCTGCATTTGATTTACAGATTCCTCCATTTTTCCTGTCTTTTAGGAAACCTGTCAAAAAACCAAAATATTATTACAACTAGATGAACACAATAAAATTATATACAGAAAATATTAGACCATGCTTATTGAGTCTATTATCTTTTAAGTTTAAAAGTATCTTTTAAGCTCAATTGACTTTATTCAGTACAAAAATCAAATGACCTTAAGAAAAACTTCTAAGGCAACAAATGAAATGAGAAACAAAATAAAAACCACATGTGACCACCCAGAAATGAGTACTAGAAATACCTTGCTTGAATTTTAAAAGTGCTTTTGCTTTTTATGTATTTGTATTTTTAAAATTTAGGGACACTCGAAATACTTCAAACAAACTAGACTATAGGCACAATGGTATGACAATCACAAGCAATAACTAAAGTCACATTTGTGAGGTACAGTAGACTGCTTCTGAGACCAATGGGGTAGTTCAGTATGAGGTCTTGAGTCCCAGATAGAGATGAACAAAATGGCAAAATAGAGGAGCCACTGTAGCTGCCACGAAGAAAAATGTTAATCCTTGAAGAACCGTGTGGGCATTTTTGGTTGTCTATCCAAAAACTATTCCTCTACCTTATCTGGTTTCCTTATCCTGACTTTTTAGTCTTTTGGAGGCTGTTAAGCCTTTCTCTAACCTAAGGGAAAGATCTTGATTGCTCTAAGCCAGTACTTCTCAAATTCTATGTACATAAAAATTATATGAAGTGATAGTTAAAACATAGATCACAGGGTTCTTGACCCTGAATTTCACAGTGAAGTAAGTGCGGGATGAGTCTTAAGCAAGTGTATACATCATAAGCTCCCAGGCGATGCTGCTACTGTTGAACCCAGCCCTAATCACGGTGCTGTCATTCTTCATGACTGCATGTCACAAATCTGGCCCATTGCTAGTGGAATACTTTTGAAGTTTTCATCTTTCTTAAAATGGGGCTACGCTTCTAAAAAGGAGTATTTCTCTTTTTTGCTCTGACTTATTTTTATTTCCAAGTAATATCTAAAGAGTGGTACCTCCACAAATGTAATCAGTTCATGAGGACACATCAATGATATATATAAGGATGGCAGAGCAAAGACAAAACAAAATCCAGTCATTCATGCTAAATGCCTGGTAGTCAAGCTGAAACTTTAGGGAGCAGACTCTAAAACAACTTTTTGATGAAAATAGATGATTTAATTCACCAGAGTCAGCAAGGAGTTCCTTCCTTTAACCTTTACAAAAAAGGTAACCTAATGTTAACCAATCAACTTTTTTCTATCACTCTGTGTTTTTCTTTCCCACTCTACAGAACTCACTTTTCTGCTAATGCCCAGGTAGGATTATTCATTCTACTTGTTCAGTAAGATGTCACCCAATCTAAAATCCCAAATAAGATAATTATGGTCCTTAGGTTAAATTTAGTGTAATTTTGTCTTCTGACATAGAAAATGAATTGTAGCTTTATCAATAGACACAATAAAGACAAAGACACACCCTTTTAATATTTCCTCAGCAGAAACCGGTTGGCTTTCCATAATTTCTGTGATGCAACATAAAATAGCAGAACAGAAAACATTACTAACAGCTAGGGCATCTCTGTAGTGCTTATGTAAATTTGCCAGTCAAATTTTAAAGTGAAAGATGGAAGACAGAATTTCACGAGTCCTGATATATAATTTAACTTTAAAATTGGTTATTCTGATTAGTACAACTTTAAAACTGGTATGGCCTGCAATGCATAAGATTATAATAAGATTACTGACATTTAGAAATTTGAAGAAAGGAGCTAAAGGTGTAGCGAAGGTGTGATGCGTAGGGGAAGAACAAAAAGGGAAAAGAAAAAAATGTGAGAGAATGAAAAGATGAAAATAAAGTGTTTGTAGATGGGGAGGGGAGGAGGGGGTGAAGGGAGGGCAGAGGTAAGGGGAAAAAATGAGAAGCAAGACTTGCCACGTAGAGGTACATGATCCCAACAATGAATGTAACTGTACTGTATCCCTAAAATGTACCAATAAACTCAATAAAATAAAAAAAAAAAATTGGTATGGCCCTGACACTGTGGTATAAGAGAGTATCTGGTCTTCGTACAAGGTTCCTGATAGTTTGTTATGTGCTTGATGCCACAGGGAGGGTATGAAGCTCTGCAGCCTACTCCTGCTCCATCTCCTGTCCTTTGTCTCCTCTACCTTACAATTCCTGAGTTGTACCCTTTATACTGTAATTCTAAGTATACTGTTTCCTGTAAACTACATAAGTCATTCTAACAAATTATTAACCTTGAGTAGGTTGAAGGAGCCCTGAATTTGGAATTGGTGGGGTAGAAGTGTGGGTACCCTGGGGACTCCACTTGCAGGTGGTATCTCAATTAAGTAAGTCTTATTGAGAACTTTGTCTGTTAACTTGTGAGATTTAATGTAAACTCCAGGTACATTCAGAATTATATTGAACATAGGACATCCAAGAGTCAGAGCATTGGTATTGGAACAGATACAAAAGGAACAAGTGACAAAAAGAAAAAGAACAAACTGAACTTCATAACAACTTGAGACTCATGTTTCAAAGGCACCACAAGGAAAATAAAATAATAATGTATGGAATAGAGAAAATATTTGCAAGGGACTTATATCTAGAATATATAACACAACTCTAATTCAATTAGAAAATAGGAAAAAGATTTCTCCAAAGAAATAGGCAAAAAATCTGAAGTTATTTCTTCAAAGAAGGTACCAAACAGCCAGTAAGTATGACTACTGAAAATCAACAGTCTTCATGGAAAGAAGTCAAAAATAGAAGGGGCTGGGGTACAGCTCAGTACAGAATGCTTCCTAACTAGCAAGGCCATGGGTAGGATCTGCAGCACTACAAAAGAACGCCACAATGAGATACTATTACACTATTACACATTCACTATGATGGTTATATTCAAGACAATGTAAGAGTTGATGAGGATTTAGAAAATTAAAACCTAATATGTTACTAATAGAGTATAAAATGACACAGCCTAAAAGACATCCTGGCAGTTTGTCAATAGATTATATATAATTCCCATATGACTCAGGAATTCTTGAATATCAAGAGAAATGAAAACATGTTCCCACAAAAACTTATCAACATTATTCACAATAGTAAAAAACAAGAAACAACCCAAATGTCCATCAGTTGAAGAATGCATTTAAAAATGTAGTATTAGCAGGGGGGTATCACAATCCTCAACTTGAAACTATACTACAAAGCTACTGTGATAAAACAGCATGGCACTGGAAAAGAAACAGACCTGAGGATCGATGGAATAGAAGATACAGGAACAACTCCAAGCATAACCAGCCACCTCATCTTTAACAAAGGAAGCAAACACCCTTACTGGAGAAAAGACAGCCTCTTTAATAAATGGTGCTATGAGGTCAGGGATTTAGCTCAGGGGGACCTTGACTACCTTAAAGTACAAGGTCCTGAGTTTGATCCCCACCACCTAAATAAATAAATAAATAAATGGTGCTACAAAACCTGGGTTTCAACTTGCCAGAGATTAAAACTAGACCCAAATCTTTCACCAGGCACTGAACTAAAACTGAAATGGACTAAAATATTTAAATATTAAAACAGAAACACTACACCTGCTGGAAGACAGATTAGGCAGAACTCTTGAAGACATTGGTGCAGGAAAAGACTTTATGAACAAAACCTCAGTTGCATGTGAACTAGCACAAAGAATCAACAGCTGGGATCTCACCTTATTAAAAAGCTTCTGTGCAGCAAGAGAAACCACCAACAGAGTGAAGAAACAATCTACAATATAGGAAAAAATTTTTACCAGCTATTCTTGAGACAAAGAACTACTATCTACAATCTATAAAGAACTTAAAAAGATCAGATCCCCCAAACTTTAAGACCCAATCCAAAAATGGGTATCTGAAATGAATAGACACTTCTCTGATCAAGTAGAAGCAGCAAATAAACATAAAAAAAATGTTCAACATCACTAGTCATTCAAGAGATACAGGTGAAAACAAGAGTCCATCTCCAGAAAGAATGGCTGCTATCAAAAAAAAAAAAAAAATCAACTAATAACAAATGTTGGCAGGGCTGTAGGGAAAAAAGGAACCCTGCTCCACTATTGGTGGGAGTGTAAACTACTACAACCACTGTGGAAATCAGTATGGAGATATCTCAAAAAACTAGGATTAGAGATCCCATTTGACCTAGCTATTCCCCTGCTGGATATATTCCCAAAAGAATTAAAAAGCATCATCACATACGTGCACCCATGTTTATAGTAGCAGTTTGTAATAGCTAAATCTTGGAAACAGCCCAAATGCTCCCCAATAGGTGATTGGATAAAGATATTCTTTTATAAAATGGAGTACTGCTGGGAATTTAGCTCAGTGGCAATGCACCTGCCTCGCAAGCGCAAGGTACTAAGTTTGATCCCTAGTATCAAAAAAACAAAAACAAAAACACCAAAGCAAACAGACAAACAAAACACCCTAGATAAAATGGAGTACTTCTCAGCCATAAAGTTAAACTACATTTATAGCGAAATGGATGCATCTTGAGGGCATACTCTGAGGTGAAATAGGACACACAGGTGTAAACATTGCTTTGTTTCTCTGGTGAGAGAAACTAAAATTGTAAATGAGGACCAAAATGTATAACAGATATTGTGAAATAGGAAGAAAATGTTCAAAGGGGAAGGGAAACTAGAGGAAAGGAAAGAAGGGAATGAAAAAAAGAAGGAAAAAGCTGGAAAGCGCGCGCGCGCGCATGCGCGC